CCTCAATTAAAACATGTCTCTATATCACCGAGATACATTGAGCAAAACGTTACACACTCATCAGCTAGATATTGTTCACATATAGATCCCTCCGGTTTGGCATGGTTACGAACATATGATTTAAAATATCCAAGAATCCTTCATAGAAGTGAACCAAGTAAGTCTCAGTTAAATGAGTGGATAAATATCTTATATAAAATAAAAGAAAATCACCTTTCAACTGGGTACATCCAACGATATGGGACTGGTCCTCCTTGTTTTGTTTCTTCGGTAAGATGTACAATTAAATGTACCATAGCCGTGAAAAATGATGGAGGGAATAACATCTCCATCTGACATAAAGTCAACACAATACACTCTTGTAATTTGTCAAGATCATCAACAGCAAGGACTTTTGCAGATATATCTTGGAAAAAGTGGCATAGCTCAACAATGGTTGATGTCACTTTTTGTGGCAGCAAATTCTGAATTGCAATGGGCAACAAATCTCTCATTATCACGTGACAGTCATGACTTTTTAAGCCTACTAACTTTCTGTTATTAAGATCAACACACGTAGAAATGTTGGAAGCGTAGCCGTCGGAAAATTTGACTATTTTCAAAACACCTAGAAAATATCTTTCCCTTCGTTATTTAGAGTAAAACATGATGATAAGTACTTGTCATTATCATTTGGCCACAACTCAGGACGGATACCAAGCTCTCGAAGATCTTTTCTAACACTCAGGTTATCTTTTGACTTGAGTTTATCATCCAAAATTGTGCTGACCAAATTGTCAAAAACATTCTTCTCTATATGCATGACATCCGAGTTGTGTCGTATCACAACATATTTCAAGTAAGGTAGCTAAAAAAATATACTTTTTTTCTCCATTGCTGCTCATCATTATCATTTCGACGTCTTTTTTTTCCAACTGAACCAGCTCTTTTACCAAGTGTAACATTCACGGATTCAAGTTGCTGCATAATTGTAGATCCTGTTGGTGTGACTGGTGGAGATCTAGTTTCTATTGTTCCATCATAATCAGACTTATTTTGACGAAAGTTATGATCTAATGGAAAGAAACGACAATGACCCATAAAACAATTTTTTTACCATGGCGTAAACATTGTCCAATAGCATCGTAATTGCAACTTGGACATGCTAGTGATGTATATGTATTCCAACCAGAAAATTTTCGAAGACCTGGAAAATCACTAATAGTCCACATAATGGCTGCTCGCATATCAAAAGTCTGATTTGTGGAAGCATCTAGAGTCTTGATCCCATCATACCACAATTCTTTCAACTCTTTAATAAGTGGTTGCAAATACACATCAATATCATTGCCAGGCATTTGTTTTTCAGGAATAATTATAGAGAGAATCATCGACGTCTGATTCATTGAAATCCACGGTGGAAAGTTATATGGAAATAAAACTACCAGCCAAATACTATAATTTGTGCTCATTGTACCAAATGGATTAAAACCATCAGAAGCCAAGCCAAAACAAACATTTCTTGAGTCAGATGCAAATTCAGGATGTTGCAGATTAAATGCTTTCTAGGATGTCTTAGTTTACCATCACTGTCATTGGCACTTGCATGCCATCTCATGTCAGCAGCAGTCTTGGAGGACATAAATAAGCGTTGCAAGCGTGGTTTCAGAGGAAAATAACGCAAAATCTTTGCAGGTAGTCGTTTATTTTTCTTTCCTGATCCAGACAGCTCACCGTTTGGTGAATTATTTTTCTTCCATTTAGATGTTTCACAGACTATGCAAGTTTGCCTATCTGCATTTGCTTCCCAGTATAATATGCAATCATTTGGGCATGCATGAATTGACTCAGATGTCAAACCTAACTTGCGAATAACCTTTTTCATGTCATTGAATGAGCAAGGCAATTTGGCATGAGGAAATGCTTCTTTAAGCAAATCAAGAATCAAGGATATTCCCTTATCACTGATCCCACACATACACTTGATATGATGTAGCTTCAATATAAAGGATAACCTAGTGAATTTAGTACAGCCTTAGTATAGCTCTTGACTAAAATCACCAAGCAACTCATCAAAACTTTCTTCTCTTTCATGGGTTTCCCTTGAAGTTGCTGGCCCATCCATATTCGTAGGTTGCTCAGACGAACCGAATCCATCATTTGCATTCATGTTGACATTAGGGAATATATCATCTAAGAGATGCGAAATTGAAGTAGATTCAACTGGAACACTGTTTATTTGAGAAGGTAATTCTGTGATGTTTTCTTTGATATTAGTCTCTTCTCCATGTAATATCCACCGTGTGTAAGAATTGAGAAAGTCAAAACACATTAAATCTCCCTCAATATCTTCCTTAGACTTGGAATTTGATAGAGAACAGCGAGTACATGGACACTTCATCATTTTTGCCTTTGATTTACCAAAGGCAAAATCCAAAAAATTGCTTACTCCTAATCTATAGTCTTCAGATAAACGAGATTTTTTTATCCATGATTTGTCCATAGTTACCTATTAATAAGGTGGAACATTAGACTCTTCTCAAAAAGAAAAACTAAAGATATAATATGAAAACGAGCAAGCTTTTGGTACGCACAGACTCATGAAAAAATAGAAGAAAAACAGGAACTATTTTTTTTTTTCTGTAAATTACGAGAAAAACTAAAGAAAACAATGAAAATACGAGGAAGCTGCTACTGAAAACCCAACATCGCTATCAAAAGTATTATCGTAGGTCAATTGTAAAATAGCTTATTATAATCTCCACGACAGCAAACACCATGGTGGAGAACAATTGAAAATTTAATTCTATCTAACTACACAGAAGTCACTTTTAACCAAGTTAATCAACGGATTACATATAGTTTTAATGTAAATTGTGAGATGAATCGATAATTTATCAAAGATTTACAAAACAAATTATCAAATTTCAAAGCAATAAATACATCGATATGATTAGTTTTCAAAGCATGGTATGAAGACTAGACATGTAGAATCGGTTTCAAAATCATATATTATTTAATTTCAGTGCAAAGGAAACAGCAAACCAGAAGATAGTAGTATTGTCGTTACCTTATTTGCTGTCGAACAAATTAACAGCAAACCATAAGCCACTTCTACAAATGCAGATATAAACTCATTTTGTACTTTAATGCAGATATAAGAATGAGTTTACATTAAAGTACAAAATTTGGTTTGCTGTTTATATAAGTTTGTATAATGAGTTTACATTAATATACTGGGAAGAATGAGTTTACATTAAACCAAATTTTGTACTTTAATGTAAACTCATTCTTATACATGTGATTCTATACTGCGTTAATAGAGACTAATTTATCATCCTGACATTTAGTACAAAGATAATATTACCAAGTTTTAATCTCATTTGAAGAGAATCAGCGCTATGCTGCGGGATATAGACTATCAACTTTTAATTTTTTGTATTAGTTTTTCATAATTTTTTGATAATTTTAATACTCAGTCATCCATTGTTTTTTTAATTCTTTTATCTAAATTACAATTTAGTGCTAATTTATATTTTTATGTTTAGATACTTAAAACTTTCTTAGTCTATTGTTTCCATTTTTGTCTCATAATTTTTTTTTCTTCTTTTGCATTGAGATTAAATTATCTTTAGTAATTCAAAAATAAAGATTAAGTCACACAAAAAATTAAATGATAAGATGAACTTAAAATCTGGAATTATTTTCATTCATATGTTTATGATGTTTTAAATTAAATTTAAATTTGATTTAAGTTATGTTTATGATGTTTTAAATTAAATATAAATTTGATTGAAGCTATGCTCATGATTTAATGTTTGTAACATGTTAAAATTAAGTTAAATAGTTTATAGGAATAAATATTTGGGACAGATTTTAATTTGTGTTTACTTAGGTTTTTAAATTTTTAGTTCAACTTTTGATTTCTCTTATGAATTCTTTATATATTTTTTTCTTGATGATCCTAGCTAGTGTTTTATTCATTGTTTTTCTATTCATTGTTTTTTACTTTTTTCATTGAATCTCGATCTAGCTATTATTTTCACTTTTTAAAATTTACTATTTTTATGTTTTGTTTTCACATATTTTTCATTGATTCTATCTATGTTATCCATGCCTCTATAAAAGTTATATTTATTTGTGTTACGTTTTGTCATTTTTTCTTTTTAATTTTGGTAATTTATTATCTTTCTAATTATTTAATTAATGTTCTTTTGTGTGTGGTTATTTTCTAGCTCTTATTTTTTTTTTTTTAACTTGTTGTTCAGTTTTTACAAAGTTGTTTAACCTATTATTTTTTTGGGTCAAATTTTAACCTATTATTTTTATTTTTCGTTTTATTATTATTTTTTCCTTGTTTTGTGAATAAATTATCTTTGTTAGTTAGAAAATGATGAGTACAGTATATCACATGGTCAAAAAGAAGAAGAAATTAAAATTTCATATTATTTTTTATTTATACATATATGATGTTTAAATTAAATTTTAATTTTGTTTATACTATTTTTATAATTTAATTTCTTACCATGATTAAAATTAGAATAAATGGCTGATTCATATTATTTAAAAAAATTTTGCATATGCATTAATAAAAAAATAAATATTAATTTTTATTGGTTCTCAAATGCAGAGTTGTCAATTTCTGGAGAGTTTCCATCATTTTTTATATATTAGACTAGGGTTTATCCCGCCCTACAGACAGATAGGGGTGAATGAATGAATTATTTTTATTATTTAATATTAATTTTCAATTTGGGTAATGTAATGCATACTAATGTTTTACTATAAGCAAATTGAAATTCTTGATATATATATATTCTTAAGAAACTTTGGTAGATTTTTATGAAGTTAGATATAGTACGTATATTAGAATAGGTAGTACTATTATCATTATGTCATACTCATAAATAAGTATTTGACTGAGTTGGACGATCTTTACCTTAAAGTTTACACACAACTATTAGTTCACACACATTAACACAGTTTAATTTTCTTGCTCATATTTTTGTTTTTTTCACCCAATGAAAAAGGACATTAGATACAACATGAATGATACTAATTACATGGTTATAAGAAGCTAAGATAGAATGCTTTTGGGCGGTAGTAAGGAAACACAATATAGCAAAAGAGGTAGTAACTTTCCATGGCTTAAAGAAGTTGAGAAGGCTGTGTATTTTAAAGCGGATTCCACTGAGCTTATCTTCTTCCCCTGCTTCTCAGAAAGTCTATGTAGAATCTCCTTTGCCGCTGTATGATTTGTTAGAATGGCGTGATAGAGAGGACGTGAAGCTTTTGGGCACAACGAAACTGTGTAGTGACATACAATATAGCTTATCACATGGGTTAGAGATAGACATGTGCATTTAAGAGATAAAAAGTCCTAACAATAGTTTACCTTGATCCATATGTCAAATCCCGAGTTTTGACTGGTTAATAGCTCTCATGGACAAAACAATCGTTGAGTCGATCAACTCTTCGACCAGCCTATTAGTCTTCAGTCAATCACACCTAAAGCAAGAAGCAAAACCAAGAGAAAAACGTTATAAAAGTGGAATACATTTTCCCCCATGGAAAAACAAAAAAAACTCTTAAGAATACAGTTTTAGAGAACCCGATTGTTGGCCTCCACATAAGGTATTTTAAAATTTGAACAAAAGATCATGAGACGAAGAAAAGAGGGCAGAAAGGAATGAGTACCACAATATGTGAAGCACTTGAACCAGTATTCAAACCAACGTCATAAGTTGATAAGTACGTCCATTCACTTAGTTTGAACATCCATCTGAACAAAACGTCCAAAATATGAAGTGTAGATTAAGTGGGGAAAATTTTCTGATAATTAAGCTTGAAAGAAAGAGATTTCTCACCCATACGAAGGTTGTCTATCAGTCAAAAACTCTCCAGTCATCACTTGATTATCCGTTCCTTGGTCGAAACAGAGTCATATGAATAAATCATCGCATTGAGTTTGTCTGAGAGTTGAAGAGCCTCACCACACACCGGGCAGTTATTCACAACGGTTTGCTCTTTACTATGGTAATTCTTATCCTTTTTGACTTTTTAAAACCCCTCTCCCGAGAGCTCGCTCATTCTTTTTGGCCTTCGGAAATGTGAGTCTATATACAGAGGGTGAAGATTTGAAATGGCAAAATTCGCTTGAGTTTGGTTGTCAGCAAATATTTGAAACTTCTTTATCTCTCTTCTCCATTGCTGTATTAGAGACGAAAGGTGGGAGATTTATTTGACGCTGGTAATCCCTTTTATATAAGGAGGATGAATGCGTGGTGCGATTTGAGCAGCCATAAATTTGCTATGCAGTTTCGATTTGGAGTTAGTGGGCATTTAGAAGAGGAAGGTGGAAGGTAATCCGTTATTCAGATGAATAGAGTGTGGGGCTGATTTGAAACGGCTGCAGGAATTTTATTGATTATACTTTACGTTTCCGTTCTCAAAGTTCTAGCGGTGTGGTGAAAGACAAGGAGAGAGTGGAAGCGGTGAGGCGTTGATGTTGCAGGGAATGAGATAAGGTTAGGTTATTTGGGCCGTAATTGTTTTTTCTGTTTCATATTGGACATTTGTCTATTGGGCACTTGTGTATTGGGCCTTTGTGTATTCATCGTTCTTTGTTTTGAAATCCAAATTCAGTATTTGTTGTAAGTGTGTGATATGAGAGGAGCTGAGAGTTGATGGGCTTTTGTGTGTGGACTTACACGAAGAGGAAGCGGATTCCATTGATATTTCGCTGACTAAATATTTTTTTATTAAATTTGATTACGTGGATGGCTAAGAAGCCAGCAAATGAATTCTTTTTATATAAAGGAGATTAGATGCTATTGTTTGTTGCAAATATTATGAATTCTTCAATACATGTTACATACTCATTCATCAGTTGACTCATCTTTGGATCAAACCAAGGTTTCTCCATCCACGATCAAAAATAATCATATATTTTCAGTTTGAAGAATATATTTTTTTTTTTGTGTAAGTTGTGAATGAGGGTGGACAATATTGAATTCTCTGTGCGTTCTCGATTGATTTCCAACAGATTTCCGATGGGGTGTGAATTTTTCAAATGACTATAAAACGGTTAGTAACGGATATATTAACGAAATTTTGTCATCGGAAAATCATTAGTATTCCTGACTGATTGCTTGATAGAATTCAAAACTTGATGTATCGCTCAGAAATCGGTTGGGAATTACCGACTATTTTTACGAAACCATCATAAATATCTGGTCGACTCTTAACAGGTGTTTCTTTTCTCAGGATTTCTTCGAAAATTCGTTGGGACTTCCTTACGAATTTATTGTCTTCGGAGTTTCCCTTGAAAATTTGAGTATTTTTCTTGTAGTGAATGTAAATTACTTTAATGATTTCAATTATGAAATATAATTCCCAAGATGATCTAGATTTAATTTAATTCAACCACAAACAAATACTTGCAGAAGAAGAAAGATTAACCTTGATCCATGCTTGATAAGACTTGATATGGATTCTATTCACCAATTGATTTCTTCCTCCCTTTGACCTCTAATTCCTTTATGATTCCTTTTGATGGACAAGGAATCTTATCTTCTCTTTGATCGATGGTTTTCTGTTTTAAGGAAACTTAATTGTTTCTCTTCTAAGTGAAGAGACACGTAATTGTTTTCCACACCCTTCAACATTAACCACCAACATATATATATGTACAGATAATTGAGTTGCTTTTCCAACCATCGTGTACTTTCATATATATGCTTTCATATTATATATATATATATATATATATAACCATTTAAGAGAATAACACTTATAAAATTTAATATGGTAAGGGAGGAGGGTTATCAATACACCCTGATTCTAATGTCTTTAATCGAAACCGATCCATCACGGTATCATCTTTTATATTAGAACCGTAAACTTTAATATGAATTTTATCTTTACAATTAAACCGAAAAGACACATATGTCACATAAAAATATAAATATTCTTACAGTGAATGGGTCACTTGATAAAACATAACTTCCTAACAAAATGAACACAACCAACCAATCGATCAATCACGCTGCATCCAGATCAACAAATATTCAAATATATGTTGCATCAAGATCAGGAAAGTATAGATGTGTAGAATATGGTTATGCCATGAATGACGATTGCTTGAAGATCCTAGGTCTAGGCTAGGTAATGGGTCTAATATACTTGAGCATGAAATGGTTAAGTTAACACTTTGAGCCGCAAGTTTAGATAGTGTACCTTGAAGCTTCCATAACAAATCAGTTGAATGATTGATCATTTGCTCCTTGGATCCACAGTAGAATGAGATCTAGGTGGGAAACAGCTAGAACAGGAATCATTTGGGGACAATCTACGCAGTTAGAGTTGTGTAACACCAAATTAAATGTAATATGTTGTTTGGTTAACTTAATCAGTTCTAGTGAATACACCATTCAACTTTGTACGTTTTAAGACATTTATTTGTTTTCTACACTTTTGACACTTGCACTAACAGGTCCATCAAAATAATGGCTCTCCGGTCTCATATCTATATGCAATCCTACTTTGGCCATTATAATTTGGTCAAAATCGAGCGTTGATAGTTGATACCATGTTAAGTTTTATGAAATTTTAATTCAAAATCAAATTGCAATAAACGAATTGGTCTATGTTCCCTAATCCCGAAGTTCCAGTATACTTTGAATGTGTGATTCCTAACAAGATCTTCTAATTTTAAAAGATATTTCTAATTTGATTTGATCGATTTTAAAGTTTTATAGGAAAATAATTGAAAGAATGTAACTAAATAAAAAGGTTTCAGTTGAATTTCGTTAAGCAAATTATTATATCGTTCAAGAAGTAGAGTAGTTGCGGTAAAGGGTCACCTATTTTTAGCTCCTCGTGAACCCCCTCACAGGCCTAGAATTTCATTATCCTTTTTGGACAACTTTTGCTTTTTATTTACGTTAGTCTCAGCCACACCTTTTTATCCTCACACTTTTTATTAATGAATGACTTTGAAACATGTTCTTGCAAAACTCTTTGGTTTTTACTTCATAAATTGTGAATTACACATATAGATTTCTTTCAGATCTTATATTTTAAATAGTAGCAATCCATCACCATCGCTTACTTATTACTTGAGGTTAAAAAAACTTTAGACTATGTATGCAAAATTAGTTGAATACCTGCGTGTAGCACGGATTTTTCAACTATTGATGAGGTCAATGTCGTGATATGTGGATCTTCAGCACTCCACTTAACTTAATAAAAATATGAAGGAAGCTCATACAGGATAATACATTGATCTGGTGGCCACTCCATTTTTCATTCTATAAATAAGCTTGTGAGTTCTAATAAAGGTCTTGAAATAGCAAAATAGTTAAATTTCAATGATCACATATCCAATCAGAATGACTCTTACACATATCTACAAAGAATATGTATTGATGTTGTCCGGCGAAAAAAATATGAAATATATATGTATATATATATATATATATTTTTTTTTTCTCTTACAACCAATCTTATTCCTTTCAAATCTCAGTGAGAAAAGTCATGTTGAGGGAAAAAAAATGTTTGAAAAAACTGTTCGTATTGTGGCTTTCAGAAAAAGTAGATTACCTTCAACTCGCTGTAAAGTGAACTTGTTGGGCATGATTCTCACTCCCATTAGTCATCAATGCAACTGTGTAGTATCACGTATGCATGCAATCTTGAATATATTCAAAGTGTATATATATCTCATGCATTGAAGAACAATTCAAATACTTATCAAAAAAGAAAAATTGAAGAACTACGAGAAGATACACGTTTAGCCAAAAAAAAAAAAACGACAAGATACACAGTCCACAGTTGGAACAACGAGAACAACGAAAAGAGCAAGCGAACGAGGAACAATGGTAGTTATATATAGTAAACATACATACGTCACACGTGTATTTTCTTACCTACTTATATGATTTTAAAATATTTTCTTTACACCCCCCAATGCGTACGTGTCATCATATTGCATGATTAGTTTGTTTTTAATTCTAATTGAACTCTATTTCCTATGATGTATGATGTATCACTTCCTCACAAGGTAATAAACTGATAAACAATACCATTTAAAAACGGATAGTCTTCATAATTAATACGTTTGTATTTTATTGCTAAAGTTGTTAGTGTTATTGCTCTTCGAATAAAACTTCATCTTCATATGAACAGAACAAAAGGAGTCTTCGAAAGGCCTACTCTGATGTTTCTTTGGAGATAAAACGAAATTTTCGTGAAAAAGACGAGCAAGAACAAGAAGAAGAGCAAAAAGTGAAGCAAGTGAAATGTGATTGTTGTGGTATAGAAGAAGAATGCACTATGAAATACATAGAAGAGGTTAAAGAATTGTATTCAGGTAAATGGCTTTGTGGTCTTTGCGCCGAAGTAGTCACTGAGAGATGCCGGAAACATCCTCCTGAAGCCCTTGGGATGCAAGAAGCTTTGGATTGGCACAAAGGAATTTGTGAGGCCTTCAATTCTACTACAAGAGTGAACCCTAAACTCGATTTCACACAATCAATGAGAAAGATTGCTAAACGAAGCAGTCAGAACAGATCGCCAAATCTTTCCACGGGTTCCAAAATTTCTCGAAGTATCAGTTGTGATCCAAGGCTCAAGGGTTGAAAATTGGTGTCCACCCAAGTTCTTGTTATTCGTAATTCTTTATCAATACTAGGTTTTGGACCGCATTACGTGCATACTCCTTCTATATATTTTTGATGAAAATCATATGCGACCAATAATATTCATTGTGATGAGCTCAATGTGATTTTGTAGATCTTCAACACTTGACTTGACTTAACTTAATTATTTTCTTTTGCTTAGTCTATGAATTCGTGATGATATATTGTTGGAGATGAAAACCGCATCTCTGGTTTCTTCGGTACAAACTGAGAACAGCACGAATTAAATTCGGTTTATAAAGGAATTGTAATGGGAAGATGGGCCGGGCGAGCTCCTGGGCCGGACGTGGCCCGATAAGCTGAAATCGGTCAAAACTTTTCAAAGGAATCGAGAAGGATCTTGAGTTCGGATGAAAAAGGAAAGTTTCCGAATGGATAAAAGAAACTTCCGAGAGAAAAGGAATGTCTTCTCGGTCTCATACCGAGGAGACGCCCCGCAAAAACCGACTTAAAGCACGTATATAAAGGGAGAAGAATCGACACCAGAAGACACAAGAAAAATCCCAAGAGACTTAGAGACAGAGAACACAAGATATTTGCTAGCTTATTAGTTTCTTAAGTCTTAGGTCATTTATCACTTCTATAAACGAACTCAGTTGTATTTTGTCTGATCTAATAAAATCCAAATTTCCAATGTGAATTACTGTTTTGCCCCTTGTGTGATATCATATATCACAATTGGCGCGCCAGGTAGAGGGCATCTAACAGAAAATTCAGTTTTTAGATCGGATTACGGAGAGATCGATCCGGCGATGACAGACCCTGTTAATATCCATCACGAAGAAGATCCTCTTGAGCAGGAGCACGGAGATAACCGAACCCCCGCAGAGCAAACTGGGGGAACCCCAGCGAAACTACCGGAGCCATAACTGGGCAAACCCCCAGTTAAGATCCGGCCGGAACCATGCGATCTACCGCTCTCGGCTGAGCAAACGCTCAAACACCAACAGATATAAATCGTGATGCCGAGTTCGAGGCCATGAAAGCACAACTCCGCCAGATCACTTCAAAGATCCATCAAGCAACGAGTGCTACACCAGAGATCGATCACGTTATCCAAGAGACGCAGAAGCACCATTCACCCCATGCATAGCGGGCACGCCCGTTAGACACTTGGAGAAGCTCAAGATCAAGATCTATGAAGGCAACACCGATCCCCGACACTCTTTAACCTCGTTTGGGATCTGCATGAACCGATACCAGTTTAGGTCGGCAGAGGAGAAGAACGCGGTCCAGTGTCAGCTATTTGTTGAGAGTTTGGGTGGAATTGCTCTCGACTGGTTCTCATGGCTCATGTCAAACTCGATAAATAATTACAAGGAACTAACCACGGCCTTTGTCAAGCACTTTTCCATGTTCATTGGACAGAATACCAAGAACTCCGAGCTGTGGCAGATAACTGAAGGAGCAAACGAGAGCCTTCGTGACTTCATCTATTGCTTCAAGACAATAGTCGCCCACTGCACAATGAGTGACGAAGCCGCTCTCTAATGTCTACAGAAAGGAGCTCGGATAAAGACAAGTTTCCGAAGTGAAATCAAACACAACCCACCATAGACCTTGGAGGACGCATTACACCGAGCTAACACCTACATAGCGGAAGAAGAGGAGGAAGCAGCTCACGAGCAAAACTACACTACCAAACAGCCCGAACGACCTAAGACTGACACTTACGAGTCCCAATCAGGTTACGACAGATATTACGAAAACCGTAAAAAATTCTACACCAATGCTATCCAACAGCCGAACAAGCAATGGAACAACAAGTGGATCCGTAGATGCGAAGACCAAGACGAGTCACTGTTCTGCGAATTCCACAATCGCAAAGGGCACAGCACCAAAGACTGCAGACACTTGCGAGAATACTTGCTCGCGCAGTACAGGACAGGGCAAATCTCACTTGACAATCTCCGACGCTCAACTGCTCAAAGAAGCAGGTCACCCTGACCTAATAATACACAGCCCAAGAACACTATCGCAAAGGATCTTCCGGCGTTACCACCTCGTCCACCGAATCAACCCGCCAAACCCGAGCAACAGAAACGCAACCGCGATGAGCCGGCACCAGAGAACCATGCCCCCAAAGCTAGGAAACACATCAACATGATCATGGGAGCTATCGAAACTTGCGGCTACTTAGTTTGGGCAATCAATAGTAAAGCCGACAGGCTGCAACCGCGCCTAAAATCTCGTACGATCTCCCAAAAGGAACTCCATTGGTATTCACCAAAGCCGACACAATTGGACTGCACAAGCCGCACAACGACGCCCTCGTCGTCGAACTCTTTCTAGACGATGTCAAAGTTACCCGCATCCTGATCGATACTGGCAGCTCGGTCAAGGATGCGCTCGACCAGCTTGACATCCCAGTAGAAAAAATCGAACCTTTCATTGAGCCACTCACAGGGTTCAACGGCGAACGCTGCATGACGGTCGGCACTGTAAAAATCCTGATATATCTAGCCGGAGTCGCGAAGGTCATTCAATTCCTCGTCCCCGACAAACCAACGATCTAAAATGCTATCCTCAGTACACCTTGGCTACACGTGATGAAAGCCGTTGCCTCCACATATCACTAGTGCCTCAAGTTCCTAACTCCCGATGGCATATACACCCTCAGAGGCAACCAAGCTATCGCCCGATCATGCTACATCAACGAATGCAAGCTTCGGTCAGCCAATCAAACTTGCGTCATCAGATCGCAGGGCACAACAACCAACCTCATTACCCAAAAAACAAAACTTAAACAGAAGGTCATTACTCAAGTCTGCATCGACGAGCTTCGACCGAAACGCCAGGTCGGTATCGGCGCTGAGCTTGACCCCAAAATCCGCGACACCCTTGTTCAATTTTCAAAACAGCATTCCTCCACCTTCACATGGTCAGTCAAAGATATGCCCGGAATCGATCCACCGATCGCCTGTCACGAGCTCAACATCGACCCGACCTACAAGCCGATCAAGCAGAAGCGTCGGAAACTGGGACCAGAAAAAGCACAAGCCGTTAACGAAGTCGAACGATTACTAAGGCAGGATCAATCACCGAAGTCAAATACCCTGACTGGTTGACGTATCCAATGGTTGTAAAGAAGAAGAACGGCAAGTGGAGAATCTGTGTCGACTTCACCGATCTCAACAAAGCCTGCTCCAAAGATAGCTTCCCCTTACTGCATATCTATCAACTCGTCGAAGCAACTGCCGAGAACGAACTCCTTTCCTTCATGGATGCTCCGGGTACAACCAGATCCTCATGCACCCTCAAGACCGGGAGAAAACATCATTTATCACTGATCTCGACATATATTGCTATAAAGTCATGTCATTTGGCTTGAACAATGTGGGTGCGACATATCAACGTCTCGTCAACCGGATGTTTGCAAGTCAGCTGGTCGAACCATGGAAGTCTACATCGACGATATGCTCGTCAAGTCACTCGTCGCCACCGACCACATTGGCCATCTCCGCACCTGCTTCGATATTCTCGATCACCTTGGGTACATCGTCACTCAGCGAGGCATTGAAGCTAACCAAAAACAGATCGCAGCAATCCTCAAACTCCCGTCCCCAACAATCAAACGGGAAGTTAAACGACTAACCGAACGTATCGCGGCACTCAATCGGTTCATATCCCGATCTACAGACAAGTGATTACCGTTCTACCAAATCCTCCGCGGAAACAAGCATTTAGAGTGGAACAAAAAGTGCGAAGAAGCCTTCACCGAACTCAAGAAGTACCTGACTACTCCTTTAGTTCTGTCCAAACCTGAGACCGGCGAGACGTTTTAACTTTATATCGCAATCTCAGAGTACGCAGTCAGCAGCGTACTCGTTCGGGAAGACAGAGGCGAGCAGAAATCAATTTTCTACATCAACAAGTCCCTTGACGGTTTGGAATATTGGTACCCAACCTTGAAGAAATTTGCCTTCGCCGTGTTCATCTCATCACGGAAACTGCGCTCTTACTTCCAATCACATGCTATCGTCGTCTTAACCGACAATCCATTTCACACCTTCCCCCATAACCTAAGTCATTCAGGTCAACTCGCCAAGTTAGCCACCGAACTCAGCGAGTACGACATTGAGTAAAGAGGAAGAACCGCGACAAAATCCAAAGTCCTAGCAGACTTCCTGATCGAGCTACCCCCATAGCTCGTTGACGCCAACCCAGTCGTACAACTATGGATCCTTCATGTCGATGGCTCCTCTTCCCATAAAGGATCTGGCGTCGACATTCGTCTCAAATCTTCCGATGGCAAAATCCTCGAACAATCATTTCGTCTCGGTTTCCCCACATCAAACAACGAAGTCGAATACGAAGCACTTATTGCCGGGTTACGACCCGCTAAAGCAATCGGTGCTAAACAAGTCCATGCCTATTGCGATTCTCAGCTCGTAGCAAACCAGTTCAACGGAGAATATGAAGCTAAGAATGACCGAATAGATGCATATCTGAAAGTCCTCAAAGACCTTGCTTCGGATTTCTCAACCTTCGAGCTCACAAAGATACCGCGCGACGAGAACGCCTCAGCTGATGCCTTGGCTGCTCTGGCATCTAATTTGGATCCCAACCTTCGGCGAACGATCCCATTCGAGGCAATCGATCGACCTAGTATTGAACCGGCACCCGTTTGCAACATCATCACGCGACGCCGCGACTACGAGGCTCATCCGAACTTAGCACCACCCCTCACCAAAAAGAAGAAGACTACAGAGCCTATCACCGATAATAATGTTGATACGAATGAGCAAAGCGACACATAATCCAATCCAGATGATGAATCCGAGGGACAACACGTCCCGATCGACATCAAAGCTGAAGGCACAGACGAGCCAGAAGACTGGACTTTGGAAATCGTCGGATACATCAGCGACGGAACGGTTCCTGCGAACAAATGGCCAGCTCGGCGACTTAAGGCTCGAGCAGTACGATACATGGTCATCA